CTCCCCTGCCCTTCCCTTCTGGTCTCCTGGCTGCCTCACAGCTGCTGCCCACCCAAAGACAGATGTCAGGCAGGCAGCCGCAAGGCAGCACGGCCAAGGGACACGAGGAGTGCACAACAGACCCCCGCTCTGCGCCCCGCGGCCCCTTCCCAGCCCCACATCCCTCCCCACCTTGTTCTCCTCCAAGAACTTGAGCTTGATGGCCACATCAGCACGCAGCTTTTCATACTTGTCCTTGTGGCTCTGGAACTGGCTCTGGGCTGCATCCAGCCGGCACAGGGTGCTGGCATCCCGAGGGCCCATGCTCAGCTCCTCCAGGTCCGTGCGGTATGCGTCGTACTCCAGCCTGTGCAGGGACAGCCAGTGTCAGAGCTACGCTGCGGCCCCACAATTCCCCCCCGGGGATGCCCGACACCCATCAGGAACCCAGCCCCGGCCCACGCCGCCGTTCTACCTGGCTGTCTCATACTGCTTGACCGTCATGAGTGTGTCCTCCATGGTCTTGTTCACCAGTGTGTTGATGCTGGAGACAAAGAAGTTGACAGCCCCCAGTAGTGTTTCTCCATTCTTGCAGAGCAGTTTCTGTGTTTCCGCGTTGTAACCAAACTCCTCCTGGGAGAGGAGGAGGAGTCAGGGCCTGTACCAGTGAGGCCCCCTCTCTCCTCCCACACACTCAGAATCAGCCTGGCCCTGGGTGCTCCAAGGAGGTGCTGGGACACCACCCTTGACGCTCTCCCCTGCCCCACGGCCTTCACCGAGCGCTGTTATCCGCAACCTCCCCCTGCTTCTCCACACGCACCTGCGGTGCTGCGGAGCAGAGAGCTGCCCCCAGCTGCGCTGCAGAGCCCAAGGCCAATTTGGGTCTCTAGGTTTCCTCCCCAGGCACGAGGGGCTGCAGCACAGGCAGAGGCAAGGCGCATCCCATCTCCCCAGTGGGCATACCTGCAGCTCAGGAGACTTCTGGCTGAGGTCCGCAAAGGCATCCCCCAGGGCGTGCTGTGTCTGCACCAGGCTGTAGAAGTGGTTGGTGAAAGCCCGCGCGAGCTGCAGCACACACTCGTACTTGCGCTTTGTCTCCCGGAGCAGCTCAATCTGTGTCTCCAGCTCCAGGTCCACGGTGCGGGAGCCACGGCCAAACCGCTCCGAGATCAGCTGCTTGGTACACTGCAGGGCGAGGGAGGAAGGCGTCAGGAGGCCCCGGGTCCCTGGCCAACGGGGAAGAAGTGCTCCTTGCTGCTGTGGGCAGCGGGGAGCTGCAGAGCTGTCCTCACGAATTCTGCGGGGAGATCCCCAGACGCGTCCTCCACCTCCCGCTGCTCCTTCGCCCCTAGTGCAGGGGCTGGCCCAACCCTCAGCCTGCTGCGCGGCCCTGGCAGCGAGCTGGGCCATCCTGACAGTCCCAGGAAGCAGCTCACCTTGTATGTGTTGATACCCCATTTCTTGACAATGTCAAACTTCTCCACGGCGATGCCACGGACAACTTCCTCTCCTCCGACGGCTGGGCTGGGGTGGGGCTGGTGCAGCCCGGAACCTGGAACAGACACAGCCCCGCGCAGCATCGGCTCAGCAGGGCAGCAGCGCCCGTGAGGGCACAGGCCAGGCTGCTCACCCAAAAGCAATGGTGCCTTCACAGCAGGGCACTGTGGCTGCACCCGGAGGGCTCGGGGCACTGCAGGGA